ACTTTCTTTGCGCCCGATGTATGAGGAGAAAGAGTCTATGAGATTTCGCAAAGCAAGCCGATGTACCTCTTGTACCGATGCAATTTCCGGGCAAGACAGCGCTGATCACAGGGATGGCAACCCTGGGGGGACGTGTTCGTGGCTGCAAAGCTACATCGGACACGGGCATTGACTTTTGTTGAGAAGCACGATGACCACTAGACCGAGTAGTCTAGTGGTCATCCTGCTTCTCAACACCTTCCCCGTTCTCCATACATGACCGAAAGCAGGGCCCGCACAACCGGGTACGTGCCCCTCGACAGATGTCAATGCAGACCACGTCCTTCACGAGTCACACATTGATTGTAAGGAGGCCGGCCATACCATCCCGACGATAGACTGACTGGTTGAATTCGCGCCCAAACGAAAGCAGCTACAGGGAGGCCGGCCACGTGATATCGGTGATGGGCTGGTTGGATTTGTCACTAAGCGCTAGCTACTGCAGGAAGGCCGGTCACGCGACTCCGACGATGGGTTGGTTGGATTTGTCACCAAACGCTAGCTGCTGCAGGAAGGCCGGCCACGCGACTCCGACGATAGGTTGGTTGAAATTATCCTCAAAAGATAGCTGCTGCAGGAAGGCCGGCCAGATGACCCCGACGATGGGTTGGTTGAAATACAATCCAAACGATAGCCGCTGCAGGGAGACAGCCCACACCGCTCCGACGATGGGTTGGTTGACTTCGGATCGAAACACTAGCTGCTGCAGGGAGGCCGGCCACCACGGCTCCGACGATGGGCTGGTTGAAGTCGGATCGAAACGATAGCTGGTGCAGGGAGGCCGGCCACATGGCTCCGACGACAGGCTGGTTGAACTCAGGACCAAACGATAGCTACTCGGCGGCCGGCCACACGGCTCCAACGATGGGCTGGTTGAAAATAAATCCAAACGATAGCCGCTGTAGGGAGACAGGCCACACCGCTCCGACGATGGGTTGGTTGAATGAACCACCAAACGATAGCCGCTGCAGTGCGGCCGGCCACACCACTCCGACGAACGATCGGCTGGTTGAATAAACCATTAAACGATAGCTGTCGCAGGGACACCGGCCATGAAACTGAGTTCACGGACCTGTCCGAAGAAAACGACAACCGTCTGAGCTTTTGAAACCAACCCACGCGCCCTCTAGGCTTGCCGCGAGATGAAAGTTCCGTTGACCGACGATTTTCTGACCCTGGGTGCAGCTCAGTGGTAGGTCTCGGCAGTAGAATCTCCATCGGAAGTGCCCACGTCCAACCAAAAGCCAGCACAGCCGGGACCAGACTCATGATGCAAACTTCTCGACAGCGCTTTTGTCGGGTGTGGTGTTTGATTTGCGGGGAGACCACAAGCTAGGAGGCGCTTGTCGATCGATGCGCACGTGCAAGGTCGGGACACTTCTGCACGCCCCACAAAACTCCAGCGACACAAGCTGTAGCTCCAGCGTAGATGCATACCAACGCTTGTCCTGTCCATCGCAAGCCTGGTTCAACGCGACCATGAAGGCGTCCAGGCAGTCCACCCGCCCTGCGATACATATGAGGACGGTAGATATACACGTAGGAATGCACCAACAAAAGGTTGTGGAACTTGGGACTGTTTCTTGCCGCGCGAATGAGTTGAGTGAGTGAAGTCAGAGACAAGGAAGACGGGAGGAGAGGAGGTGGGTCGGCCGAGTCGATACTAACAAAATCTTCCAAAAAGCAGCCTTTTATCATCATACGCAACTGTACCCGGGGATTTGAGCAACAACTGGCCATGTCTGTTCATGTTCCAGACCCCTCCATTGAGCATGAGTTGGAATGGGCATTCGTACCATCCGGTGAGCCATTCTACAAGCGTGTTTGCAAGAAAAAATATTCGTCGGGTGTCTCGGAGCAATCATTCACCGAACGATTGAAACTGATCCCAGAGCAGTTCTCGCTCTTTTACGGGGTGCGCGCGCATGTTGCCTGCCTCGAGTGACGGGGGGAACGTTCTGCGAAGGAAAATATGAAAAAAGTATACATAGAATAGTCCGAGTCCATGTAGGAAGTAGCTGCCCACCATTGATTGGCACGTTTCGAACTTCTCGCACTGACTGGTTGAGAATACCTATACCTTCGTAGGATGGTAAGCGTGCCGTTTCACACGATGGCGTATAAGCTTTCCCACTCTTTCTTCTTTTTCTCATGCGATGTGTAGTGATATCAAACGGAATCATGCCAGACATCACGGCAAACGCGATAGGCGCCAGTGTAATTGAACAGAGACTCGTGAAAGAATGCTGTAGGACAACCTCGGGAGCCGGTAGATTCATTGGTGTACTCAACCGCCTTTCGCTAAACATGCCGGTCGAGCATCGAACCTTCTTTGATTGCAGGCCGAGCAAAAGACAGAGACGTCTAAGTGATAGGAGTATGCACAAGCCTTACGGGAACATCGAAAATCACTGGGCAGGACATGGCGTTGAAACCCCCGGCGAACGATGTACTGCTCGAGAGAGAAATGCTCCCACCCACGGCGATCAGGAGAAAATGAGCTCATCCTGCTGCCCATAAAAAAACATCGAATGGAAGAATAGTGAGCATCCCTATATCAGACAACCCCAGACCAAAGCTTCTACGCCAAGTTTCTGAACGAACCAGCTGGTTGGGATTCACGCGTAAAAAGCAAATTCATCCAGTTGGGCAATAACGACAACACAACGTCTGGAGATCGTTGGAACAAGAGTACGCAAGCACTACCACGCAGCGCTGGTCTCCCACCCCACACTGTCCAGGCTGTGGCTCGCCCCATGATTCGAAGCGCCGACTAATTCAACGGTAGGATATCGAGATAGAAGGCATTCTGGAACAGCGACTACAGTGCGTTGCCTTTCGATTCCAACCGTTTCTCTTGTTGGAACCCTCCATAAAAACGCGAGCGGATACACCACGTGGTAGCAATGACGAAAAAACGACAACGACCCACAGCTCCTCACTGTTTTCGTATATTTTGGGTCAACCTAGCTTCAAACCATTGGATACGTCTCGTCGGACAGGCGTTCAATCGTCCATTCTCATTTCGTATCATTTGGCGGTCGCTAGACGTACCCAGCAACCTTACAAAAGTCCAGTGATATGCTTGAAAGACAGAAACGCGCCTTCAATCCCCCCCCCCCCACCCTCTGACGCGTTTTGTCCCTTAGAGAAACAACCACGAGAAGCGACACAGAAACCCAGTTTATCTGGGGTGTACAGGGCACCACCGCGATCTACAACGTGCGGTGCAACGTGCAGCTTACGACAACCACCTCTTGTAGAAAGCACACCTTTCCTACCGGGGTCGTTAAAGCTGCGTGCGCTTGCCTTGTTGATGTTCTACCTTGAGGTATCCCTCTTCCCGTACACCACACACATACTCGTCGGTGAATGGCAATTCCCAATGTCTGGAAGGCTCGGCGCCAGGAAACTGATCTATCTGGCACAACGGCTAAACAAGTAATCATGCGATGTGTGCACAGTTGGCCCCCAAGCAGCGGCTTTCGAGCATGTCGTGGCACAAAGGGAAGAAGTCGTGAAAGGGAGGAATCACAAACTCGACACCATTGGGCACCATAGGCTTCTCCGATAACAGCGGTGGGCATGGAGAAAAAACGAAAATGGACCTCGTCGTGTTCGTAACCACTGTCCTGTTCGCCTGGCCGCAACCAGGACCCACACAACCTGGGGCGTGTGCGTCGATACCTGTCATAGTAGACTAAGTCCACCACGAGTCGCAACGCGTAAAGATGCCGGCCATTCTACTGTAGCTAAGCATTGTTTGAAACAGGATTGCCCATATGCATTCCCGAATGATAGCCATTGCAGCGAGGCCGGCCACGCGGCCCCAACAATAGGCTGGTCGAATTCTAAACCAAACGCTAGCCGCTTCAGGGAGAATGGCCACAAAACGTCCGTGATGGGCTGGTTAAAGTCATCTCCAAACGATAGCTGCTGCAGTGAGGCCGGCCACACGACGCCGATGATGGGCTGGTTGAAGACACGTCCAAACGACAGCTGCTGCAGTGAGTTCGGCCACACGATTCCGACGACGGGCTGGTTGAAGATACATCCAAAGGATAGCTGCCGCAGGGAAGCTGACCACACGACTCCGACGATTGGCTGGTTGAATGTTGCCCCAAATGATAGCTGCTGCAGGGAGGCCGGCCACACAACACCGATGATGGGCTGGTTGAATTCGTATCCAAACGATAGCCGTTGCAGGGAGGCCGGCCACACAACACCGATGATTGGCTGGTTAAACTCAACCCCAAACGATACCTGCTGCAGGGAGGCCGGCCACATGGCTTCGACGATGGGCTGATTGAAGGAAAATCCAAACGATAGCTGCTTTATGGAGACCGTCCACACGACCTCGGCGATGGGCTGGTTGAATTCTGAACTAAACGACAGCCGTTGAAGGGAGGTCGGCCACACGACCCCGATAATGGGCTGGTCGAAGTGAAACCCAAATGATAGCAGTTGCAGGGAGGCCGGCCACACAGCTCCGACGATGGGCTGGTTGAAGTAACGACCAAACGATAGCTGCTGCAGGGAGGCTGGCCAAACGCCCCCGACAATGGTCTGGTCAAATTGATCCCCAAATGACAGCTGCTGCAGGGAGGCCGGCCAAACGGCTCCGACGATGGGCTGGTTGAAGCAATGTCCAAATGATAGCTGCTTCAGGGAGACCGGCCAAACGACTTCGACGATGGGCTGGTCGAAGTTATCCCCAAACGAGAGTTGCTGCAGGAAGACCGGCCACGCAACTCCGACGATGGCCTGCGTGAAAGTATCTCCAAACGATAGCTGCCGCAAGGAGGCAGGCCACGATGCTAGGTTCACCGGCATATCCAAATTAAAGACCAGCCGTTTGAGCTTTTGAGGCCAAACCATACATGCTAGGCTTGCTGCAGATGAAGGTCCCGCTAGCTGTCGGCAGTCTGATTCTGACCACAGTCCAATGGCAGACTTCTCTATCAGCACCTCCATTGGAAGTGCCCACGCCAAACCAAAAGCTTGCACAGCCGGCACGCGACTCGACATGAAAACCCCTCGATGGCGCTTGCTGGGTGTGGTATGATATTCGCGAGGAATCCACAAGCTAGGAGGCGTTTGTCGATGAACACGCACGTGCAAAGTCTGCACACTTCTGCATGCCCCGCAAAATCCCAGCGACCCAAGCTGGAGCTCCCGCGTAGACGCATACCAACGCTTTCCTGGTCCTTCGCAAGCCTGGTTCAATGCGACAATGAAGGCGTCCAGGCACTTGCTCCTCCCTGTGATATTGGATGGAAAATAAACATGTAGGAACGCACACAAAACGTCATGTGAGCCTTGGGTTAGTGTCGTGCTGCGCGACTGAGTGGATAAAGACGGACACGAGAAAGAAGGCAGGAGAGTAAGTAGGTTCTGCAAGTCAACCAATAATCAGAAGCTGCCAAAGTGTGCACGCGTCCGTGTGCCTGATATACTTGCGTATTGTCGTGTGCCGTTTAGTGCATTGCGACCCATATGATGGTATGCGCTTCCGTTGGGACGTGGTGACCAAAGATGGATGCACGGGAAAGGCACTACACGACTGACAACGCCGAAACAAAGAGAAGGCAGATGATAAAAGATGAATCGTGATGTCAAATTGACACCGCTGCGATGAGACGACACTCAAAGGTAGAGCATCTATGCATACCACGGCAAAATTAGTCTCTGCCCAAAGACAGAAAAAAATCGCTGGAACCCACTTTTTGGGTTTGCTGGGAATATGTTTGCGATATGGACAACCGTGAGCCACATCTTTTTCTCGCAAACAGTCAAAGAATAAGCTGAGGAGCAGCGAAGCTGCAACTTTCTTCCCCCTTCAACCCAGGGGAAAAACAAAGGTCCAAATATCGATATAGGCCTCTTACAACTCGTGCAGGGTGCCCTCCGCCGAATATACGCGAGGCCAAATTGGCCCTCCTTTTCGACCAGAACAAGATCTATGGACCACCGATTGACCTTCTGTTGCCTTTTCACGAGGAAGTATAATAGTACACCATTCGTCACCTCTTGGTCGCGCTATTTGATACCAACTTGGTCGAGTATCCCGGGACAGAACGATGCAGCCCCGGGAGTTGTCAAGTAAGGGGCAATATAAAGCGAATATTCCACACGCACCATTCAAACCTGGAGAAACAGAGGTAGCACTCAGCGAAAATAAGTAACTCAACACTGCGCTGGGAAGAGCGAGACAGAAAGGGAAATCACAGCATCAACAGCAGACCTGCTGCCCTCTCTATGGCAACACAACGTAGATCTCCAGGATGCGCTCTTCTTGCTGTTGGGATATCTCATGATGATGGGTGAAATAAGACCGATTGGAGTATTGTTGCTGATGCTGCTGCAGCAACGGCAGCAGAGAGTGAAGGCGAGGCGTTAGTGTTGTTGATGCAGTCGGTACAGAGACTCAGAACAGTCGTTACGGTGTCCCTCGCCGGACAATAAATTGTAGGGCGGGGGGGTGCGAGAAGCAAACAAACGACGCCCTCCAGCAAAAGCGTAACAAGAGACATGAGACTGGATTAATGATACGAGATGGTACACGCGAGAAATCGGTTGGGGCTCAGTTGATTGCGCTGTGTTCCTGTCCCTTTCCAAGTGAATGCGCGTCCGCCACCACATATATTGTTCATTTATGACGGCGTGTGTGCGTGTTCCTCACCCGTCGGTGGATATTGGGGTGAAGCGGATGCGCCAGTCGTGAACATGCTTCCTGATGAATCTTCATCGGGGGCATGACAGGAGACCCATGATTTCGTCGGAACAAGGCCCATCTGTTTTTTTTTTTTTTTTCATGCTTGTACTGTAGACTACATTGTACAGCTGGCTCTACTGCTGTAGTACTCTGTAGCATTGGTCAATCGTCAGAGCGGGCGGACAGCACGAAGAGAATACGCTTTTCAGCTCGATCCCCGTCTTCCCAACCTCGCAACCTCAACCTCAACATGTTGAAATTGGTCTCCCGCCTGCCCCATCCCTCACCTGGGGCCGCGCATGCCGGAACGAGATGCCGGCGAACATGAGGAATGTACAGCAAAAAGAGCAGGATACCACAACTATTACTGCTGTATACATGCACACTACCCAGCCCATGTCTTGCCTGTACTGCTGCAGTTTCAATTGCGAATCCCCTCTCTTTGTTGCAGCCTCAATCCAACCCAATCCCGCTCACCTTCGGTATTCATGGCAGCCGGTGTTCACCAACAAGCAGTGTGCATCCGAGCGTCTAGTGCGCATAGAGCACGAGCAGACGGCGGAGCCCCCAAGCAAAGGTCCCGGTTCGCGACCGCAAGAACCGGTTCCTACAGTTGTTGTTGTTGTTGTTGTCTTCACATTAAAAACCGTTCCGATCTCTCTCTACCCAGTACCTTCGTATGTCCGTACTGATCCAACACTCGACGCGGTCGATTCCCGTGGTCACAGGTTAACTTACCCTAAAAAGGTACACTCACATAAACTGGCCCCGAGGGGTCCGCAAGCAATAGAAATCAACGACAGATATTCTGGGATCCTCCACTCCCTTTTCGCGCTATGCGAGGTATCAACTGAGACTAGCAGTCACTATCTATCATGGGCCGGAGAGAAAGAGGTACACCCCCTTGGTTCAATCTTGGTACTTCACAACGCAAGCAGAGACAAGGCCATCTGGCACAGAAAAAGAGAGAAAAAAGAGAGAGAAAAAAAATGAAAAAAAAGAAAAAATAAGGAGAAAAAATAAAAATGGAAACCGTAAGGAGAAGAGAAAATAAATGAAAATAAAATGAAAAAGGGCGAGGACAAAGAGGGACCAGGCCGAAAATAACAGGAAGTATGAGGCAGAACAAGGCACACGGTGGAGAGACCACTAACGAACAAGCAAACACGCAAACATGGCCACCAACCAGCGATACATTGTAATGGTACGAAATCACTACAACTGGGGGGTTGGTGCAATGGTGCAGCGTTGGGGGGGGGAATTGGCGAAAAGAAATTCAATCTGGCACGTGTCGTGCCACTCGGTCCGTCTCTTCTCGTTTGCTTTCTTCCCTGGCCGTCTCGTCCGTCTCCTGCCCCCCTCCCGCCCCATTGGTTGTTGGCTTGTGGTTTCGTTTGAGCGCTCGTTGTCGGCTGGCCTCTTCTTCCTTCTCGTGCCAGGAGGTCATGAACCTCTCAGCTCCCTGCAGCACCGCCGCATGCCAGGGTACTCCCCCCTCCACCTTCGCGGCTTCCGCCCACCTTAACTTCGGTGCCGTGTCTTTCGGTACGGGAATTCCGAGACAACTTGGGTCGGTTTTCGTAGATCCGTGGTCGGCCCCGAATGCCTTCAGGTCGTCGAGCACACACTTCGGCCAGTTCTGTTCCTGTCCCCCCCTACGTGGCTTCTCCCCCCCCGCCAGCTCGCCGAGCATCAGTCGTTTCGGGAGTCGCCCGTCCGGCTGCCTTGCCAGTGCTCCCGCGAACAGTAGGCGTCGTTGTCGGATCGTGGCTTCAACGCTCTGGCATTCGACCCTCTTCAGCGTCTGGGCGTACGAGAGCTGCCGGTAGGTGTCTTTCTTGCGCTTGTACCCGATAACTCGAAGGAGCAGTCGGTGGTGTGTCGACCGCAGCGTCTGATAGTGGCCGCTGAGTGGTGACCATGTCATGCAGCCGTACAGCAGTGCCTCCATCGCCTCCGCCTGGAGGAGGCGGATCTTGAGTCGGAATGGCGCTTTCGGTCTGTCGAAGAGCTCCTGGCCACAGTACATGGTTCTCCGACCTGGCCCGACGGCCGACGGCCCCCCTGCCCCTTACCCCTGCCCCCGCTCCCCCATGCCCGTGGTTCGTGCTGGACCTGATCTTCTTGATCTGGCATTGTGGCATCGCTGATCGTCGACTCGCCGACTTGCCGGCTCGCCGACTCGCTTGCTGCCTCTCTCTGTTCTACCCGTGTGTATTATCCAGCTGGCGTCACCAACGGGTTGGCACCAGACTCGCTACGGGCGTATGGAATGGCTAGATCTGACGTGTTTGCAAGTGCGCAATGTGCATCACGCCTTGTATCCTCCGCACTTCCTACCGAGACCCTTTGCAGTATCGCCCCCTTTCAATCGCAGACCCTCCTTGCCCGCGAGAGGTTTGACGACACCGGTCGGTGCCCTCATGCTGCTTCTATTGCACAAGGTGATGTTGTTGGTCGTCCGGTAGGAGTATAATTCAAAGGGCAAAACCGCCAGTCCTGGTCTGCTATTATTTATTAAGGAAGTGGCGCTCCTACCTCATCGCGTGGTTTCCACCGGCACCCCCCCGCATGTTCGCTTTGTCCGCAGAAGCGGCGGCTTCAAGTCGCCGGTGGTGGCGCTAGTGACGGCGGTGGCGGTGGAAGTAGCGGAGGAAAAAATCACGTGAACTGCAATTGCCGGTCGGTTGGCATGTCGCTTCTGGTATCCCACGCGGACAACCACGACGACGTTCAAGGATGATCGGCGTCGCAGGGCACACCATCCAGGGGAGCATGGCCTTGCTCGATGTCTAAACATGAACTCTCCTGGTGGTGCTTGGAATATGACGAGGTCCCGAATCTCACCAACACGAGGTGCATTGACCAGACCTATGCTTCCTGTAGGCGGACTGTATAGTATGTTACACGTGATAATCTTGATCCTAACCTCGCGCTCGCATACGCCTGGCGTGCACCGCACAAAGATTCGCATGATCACTACGTTTCGGCATGGGTGGACTGCTTTCCACAATATTCGCGAGCAGGGGTTGGGTGGGGGGCACCATGCTAGGGTCTGTTGATACATTCCAACGACACTGACAGAGAGAGGGAGACTTGAGTGGAATCTGCGAATAATTACTAGTGTTCCTCTTCGAGCCGTGTGGTTAGCTTCGTTAGTGAATGGCTATTGATGTTCAAGAAGAGACCCGCAGGAAACATTAACATTCAGGAAGTATCGCTCCGTACCCATCACTTTTTTTCCACGCACACCTCCCCCTCACCTCGCCTTGATTGTTTTTCCCGTCCGCAGAAGGAGAAGACGGCTACAAGTGGCCGGTGGCAGTGCTGGCGACAAAAATAGCGAAAAAAGAGCGTTGCCTGATCTGAAATTGCTAACTCGCTGGCGTGGCACTTCTGGCATACCACGGGTACGTGGTACACCCCGACGAGGGCGCTGGAGCGAGCAGTTAGGGCAGAGCAGCGCTCAGGCGCGAGTGGTGAGTGTGGCCTTTCTCTCTAGAAGTGTGTTGTTGTTGAGACAGTCGTGCCTGTTCAAGACTACAGTAACAGCGACCATTTGCTGGCAAGGAGCATGTGCGGGCTCTAGCGGTCGAGTTGGCGGTGCTGGCTTAATTCCAACATGTGCGCCATGGGTTTTGGACAGAATGACTTCACCATTCTCACCGAAAAATGCATACTCGTTGAAGAGCATAGTTTCTCTGTCTTCTGCTGTTTGTTCCAGATTTTCATTCTTTTGGACGCTAAGCACAACAAAGGTCTGGCATGATGTGACTGTCAAACACAAAAAACTGCTGCAGCAGGAGTCGTCATGGGGAATATTACAAAGGCGAGCAACCTGCTAAACAGAGTAGTCCGGAGTAGGATCTCAATGCGGGTGTAATCGATGGTCGGTTGCCGTAAGTATGCAGGTCTAGGCATGGATCGGCGACACGGCGCGGGTCAGGATCTTGGCTCAAGGTGTACAGAAAAAAATCGGGTTGAGGTATGTAATTGATGTTTGTTTGCACAGGTATTTTATTCGCTTCGCACAGAGTCCCGGATGGGGTGGGCGGTATTTGTAGCGGGAGATTGCTGTACCACGGGAGCTTGTATCATTGGCTCCAATGCTGTTCTTTGGCACCGTAATGTGCTATTGGAGTTTTGGCAGGGGGGTGCGTTCTAAACACCCCATGTCGCCGCTGTTATTTCTTCAGAATCGCACAGATCGGAATCATCGCACGGGGTGTGCGTTATTTTGTCGGGTCAGGAAATGTTTTTTTCCGGATAGGTAACGGAATCTTGGCACGTACCGGCGTCGGACCATCGGGCAGCACATGGTGTTGACGCCCTCGGTGGTTTTTTCAAACGAGAACAATGTTCCTACTGGCGGCCATCGGGGAGTGAATCAACGTATGCTGCCCACCGTAACCATCAATTGAGAGTGCCATATCTCTCTCACAAACCCTCGAGAAACGCCCCCACCCCAAATTTCAGCGGACCGTCGTATACACTCTCCACCGTTGGAAAATTTTTGCGGTCGCCGGTTTTAAACAATTTTTTGGGTTGTACATAGTTGGAGGTAGGCACGGATCCAAATGACCTAGCAGGTTTAGCCCTCAGTCTACACCACGACGCTGAGCCTAACAGGCCTAACTCACCCCTAATCCCTACTAACCCTAGCCGTAGCCCACACCCCGATGTTTTGGTTGGTGTGCATAGTGGGTAGGCCTAGATCGCTGTGCCGAGCTACTGGAGCGCGCTTCGTGCCCGCCCAACTCTAGCGTAGTTACGCCTCGCGAATTTGAGCACAAACCAGCTGATCGACCGCTGTATGCATAGAAAGAAAAAATCGTCAAGATTGAGGCCATTCGTTGGCTAGAACACGACACGACAACTCCTAGAAAACCCTGCAGCAATCGTACGAGCAACCGCGCACTCTTGGTGAAACACCTTTGGTGAAAGACGGTCGCCCCTGTCCCGCACTGTCCAGAGTGTCATTCACCTCAGAGATAGAAACGACTTATAACCGCTTCTTTGCAACAAATCTTATGTTGCCTGACGAATCCGAAGCTTGTTCTTGTTGCCGCTCTGCGAGAAAACGCGAACGGTCCAACCGCAAGTAACACCCGCCCAAACACAACCCACGACAACGATAGAAAGACACGACAGACAACGACCTGCCTCCTCCCCGACATATTTCGATAGCTTTTTTGAGTCTAGCTTCAAATCCTTCGTTACAGCCTGGCATCATCGAGGTGACATGAATCTAAAGACAATGAATGTCTCATCGGAGAGACCTTGTTCGCTCTGATGGCGTGGCGTACACCATACTTCTGTCGCTAGACACAACCATCAACATGATACACGCGCGGTGTCATGCTTGAAAATAGAAACGCGCCTTCAACGTCCTCGCCCTCACGCACACGCCCGCTGGTCCGCTTTGTCCCAAAGACAAAAACTACATACCTTGTTCATTCTCATGGCGTGGTTTGCACCACACTTCTGTCG